ATAATAATAAACAAACAAACAAACAAACAGTAGGATAACTCCTGAATCCAACATCGATCTCGATCCAAATCTATTGCTAATGACAATTTAATACTGCACTCATGTAACGACAGTTAGGAATTAGCTATAATTAGGATCGGTTTACAATAGTTTGCATTGGGGGGGGGGGGGGGAAAGAGATTGTTAGTAATGAAGACTGAGAATCCCATTGTTAGCAATATACCCAACCAGGTCGACCTCCTCGCGGTTCGCCCTGGAAACTATCATGGTTAATTCCTTATGAATTCATCATGATGGGCTAACTGGCCTTTACTGGTGCTCCGCCAGCGTATCCCGTTAGCGTAGGCGGGGTTACCATACCATTTTCACCCATAAAAAAAAAATAGTTTGCATTGGCAAGTTGCACCAATATGCATCTATCAGAACAGTATGGCACTTAATATTATTTTGTGGAAATTCGTATCATTGGTTAGTTGATTAGAATTATTTAGTTTCATTCCGCTATCTTTTTTTTTTTATGGATGACAATGAATCCCGCCTGCGCTAACTGTATACGCTGGTGGGGCATCAGTGAATAGTGATAAATACACCAGGAATATACACTACCAGAGTACCAGTAAAAGGTGATAAATGAGGATGAAGGCAGGTCAGTTGGCCTATAGTGATATCAATTGAACAAGAATTTACTACTATGGTTTCCAGGGGGCACCGCGTGGAGGTCGACCTGATACTATTATCAATTTTATTATATGATGATATTTTGCTAGCAATGGGGTAGTTAAATCTCATTATTAACAATCCCCCTCCCCCCACTCCCCTTCCACCGCTCATAACAGTAGCAAAATAGTAACTAGTTCCTAGTTAATATATTCGATAAAGATTCGATTCCCAATTAACAATACCGAATTATCAATAAATGTCGTCAATCAACGAAGTTGAGCGATATTAACCGCGGTCACCTCCCGGTGATTAATAGCGACATTTTGACCGATTCCCAACTTTGGAGGGCTCGTTAAGTAGTTGAGCCGGGTCACTATGTAATGATTTAAGCCTATAGTAGCTTTAAAATAACTCAAATGTTCTATCTTCACTCCGTACATTACTTTACGGGGTTTTTTTTATGGCGAAAATGGAATGGACACCAATGATGGTATATATCATGGTTTATTCTAATGGAATTCGTCACGATGGGTTAACTGACCTGCCTTTTCATTCTCCCCTATCACCCCTCACTGGTGCCCCGCCAGCGTATACCGATAACGCAGGCGGGGTTGCCATTTCATTATCACTCATTAAAAAAAACACCTTAGCCTCAGGAATGGCAACGCATGAAGGGTATCATGGGCGACACCGTATATAATCTGTTATGTCCATGGTACTGTTCATGTTTTTTTTATACAACTTAGAATGGCTAACAAGCTGACGGCCCACCTGATGGAAAGTGGTAACCGTCGCTTATAGACATGAGCAGTACCATGGACATAACAGAGTATACTGTTTCGCCCATGATACCCCTCATGCGTTGCCATTCCTGAGGACTCGGGTGTTATTCCTCTGTACCTCTTATGTCAAAGCTAACAACGAATAAACTCAAAAATTACAGGACTGATTTAAAAAAAAATTCCACCATTATTATGCTACATTAGTACAGTAACATAAGCTTTATATATTTTTTTCCAAAAATTCTAATTAGCCGTGCGAAGCCGGGTCAGACGACTAGTATGCAATAAAGGTAAACGCCTTGCGCACTATTATACTCGTAGTGTATTACAAATTGACGCCATAAAATATCATTTAGTGGAAAGCTTTGACATTTCGAATACCATAATAAAAAAAAACACTTTAGTAAAATTGCATTCTCTATTAAATATAATAACTGTGTAAAGGTGGATTTAAATTAAACGAATATGGAACAATTTTTTTAATGGACGATAATTTATTTATTTATAATATATATATGGTAAGCTTCACAATTGCTTAACAATGATTGAGCAATTGTGAACAATTGATTTAACAATGCACTTACCAAAAATTAAAAAATAAGAACATTATAATAATACAATAATCGACAAAAATTAATAATAATAAAAACAATTTAATTATGCTATAAAAAATAAACATTAAAAATGCATTTCTGCGTAAATTTGTTACTCTGTGGCAGTACAGTGAAAAAAATCCAGTTCTGAACTCGTTACGTTTTTGAGCAGACCTACGTCAGCTTAAAAACGTAGCGAGTTCATTATCGCCATCGCTACCGATTGCGATAATGGAATGGTGACCCCCGCCTGCGCTATCGGTATACACTGGCGGGGCACCAGTGAGGGATGATAGGTGAGGATGAAGTCAAGTCGACTTTGACATAATTAATCACGTTGGTTTTTGGGGGGAACCGTTGGATAGATGGTTGATTAAATAGATGAGTGGGTAGAAGAAAAAAAACTTCTGCCTCATAAGTCCTCATGACCCCTTGGGGGGTTTGGCATTATGTCACGTTTGGCAGGCGGGATGGCAATCGCACTCAGGCCTTGGTAATGTTTTAAGAGGGACGTTGCCCATCCTTCGACCATTCCCATTCAGTTCCTCTTACAACTTCCACGGAAAATTGTTAGTAATGCTGACTACCTATTCTGTTACTAGCAATACACCCTGTCAGGTCGACCACCACGCTAACAAGCTGACGGCCCACCTGATGGAAAGTGGTAACCGTCGCCTATAGACATGAGCAGTACCATGGACATAACAGAGTATACTGTTTCGCCCATGATACCCCTCATGCGTTGCCATTCCTGAGGATTCAGGTGTTAAACCTTTGTATCCTGTAAATTCATTGCAATATCCCACCCTTCAAACCGAAACACAGTCATGCAAACACAATTGCTTCACGGTAGAAACACGAATGGGACAGAGGTGTCCAAGCAAACGACTTTTGTACAAAGTCTCCCTCTAGTGGTGAAATACAACTAAGTTAGAACATTCTAGTATTTAGTATAATTAAAAGTATAATTTGAAGAAATTACTGTGATTGTGTTGCCATTATTTAGATATTAGAAAGAAAAAAAAAAGAAAAAAAAAGAAAATTAATAAATTACCTTTAAGATTATTTAAAAGATTTTAATATACTTACAACAACCCCAAATAATGGATCCTATAATTTTTATAGATTTTCTCAGAGGCAACCCACCAGTTTTCATTATATAGAGCGCTGTACCTAATATGCGTACAGTTAGAAATACACAATTGTACATAAATGCATACCATACGTATATATTGAGTATGTAGTAACTTTTCTGAAAAAAAAAATCATTATCATCATTCAGCCATTATCAGTCCACTGCTGGACATAGGTCTCCCCTATAGACAGCCCTAAGCAACGGTCCAAACCACCTGCATCCACTGACTCCCTGCAATGCATTTGAAATCGTCCCCCCATTTTGTGGGGGTTCGTCCTATACTGCGTTTGCTCGTACGGGTTGCCACTCTAGAACCTTTTTCCCTCATCGGTTGTTGGTTCTTTGAGTTATGTGACCAGCTCATTGCCACTTCACCTTGCTTATTCCTTTTATGGATCGTTAATTATCCACTGTTGAACAAAGGCCTCTCCTATAAAGGCGGTTTTGCTGGTAGTTGACACCTTGGCAGTTGAATTGGAAATCGCAGTTAGGCTTTGGTGACTTTTTATGAGGGATGCTGCTGCCCATCCCTCGACAATTAAGTTCCTTTAGTTGTTTCTTAGGACACCTACGGGAGATGTAGGAATGACGTGAGGAGGGATATGCCGGGACCACACGGCAAAATATATAAATATTTGTGCTTAAATCTGGACTATTATTTGTATGTATATATAATAATACGATGTACCTAGTTCCCGAATCAATTTTTTATACTATTTACAATATGCAAACGGTCCGTTTGAAAAAAAATTAGGAAAGCTGTTATCTTTTGAAAAGAGCCAGCAAGAAACTTAACTGTTACTCTGGGGGGTGGAGGGATTGTTAATAATGGAGACTAAGAGTCCCATTGCTAGCAATATATCCAACCAGGTCGACCTCCACGTGGAAACCATCGTGCTGAATTCCTAGTGTATTCATCACGATGAGCTAACTGACCTGTGTTTTCATCCTCACCTATCATCCCTCATTGGTGCCCCGCCAGTGTATACCGTTAGCCCAGGCGGGGTTACTATTTCATTATCACCCATTAAAAAAAAACAGTTACTCTTTTAAATCTCTGTTAACATTATTTCAATGTATCTACTATGTTTAAATTTACATGGTCGTTAAAAGCTCGTGCATGTTCGACTAACACCATGCATATTTGTCATTCAAGTAATCGTTTGTTGCCTCTACAATCCCAAGGGAAAGCAAGGGGTTATATTATATGCCGAGACCTACAGGGCTATACGAAGCTTGTCATTTTAACCATTAATTTTTTGTTATAAATTTAACTTTTAAAAAAGCAACAGCCGAGTTCTTTCCAGTACTTCTCAGCTGAAATTGCATTGCGAACTGGGTGGTAGATTTAAAAAAAAAGGACTATTTTTTTAATGATTGATAATGGAATAGTAACCCCACCCGCGCTATCGGTATACACCGGCGGGGCACCAGTATGAGATGATAGGTGAGGATGAAACAGGCCAGTTAGCCCATCGTAACGAATTCAACAATTGTTCACGATGGTTTCCAGGGGGGATCACTTGGAGGTCGACCTGATATGAATCCCCTTGCTAGCAATATGGGATTATTAAGCCCAATTGCTAACAATCCCTTTTCCCACACAAAAAGGACTATTAAAACTGCTTTTTACTGAGTGTACTTAAATAAAATTAAAAAAAAAAAATATATATATATATATATATATATATATATATATATATATATATATATATATATATATATATATATATATATATATATATATATATATATATATATATATATATATATATATATATATATATATATATATATAATTATTATCTAGATGTTGATATAAATACTCACAACTATGATACCTATTAAAAGTATTCCAGATGCCAAAATTAAAGATATTGTGAGGAAAATGTAAATCATGGAAGTGTAATAGACAGCCGAGTCACCTTCAAATATATCGGACATCAACTTTTTTACTCCTATTAATTCCAAGGCTGCCCACATCTGTAGAAAAAATATAGTTTTTTTTTTTATGAAACTTAAAACGGCAAAAAGCTGACGGTCCACCAGATTTTTTTTTATTTTTTTTTATACAACTTAGAATGGCAAACAAGCTGACGGCCCACCTGATGGAAAGTGGTAACCGTCGCCTATAGACGTGAGCAGTACCATGGACATAACAGAGTGTATGTGTATGGTAGCGGTAACTCTTATGTATAGACTTGAAAAGTATAAGAAATCATGGATGTCCACTCTGTAATATCTAATAATAATACTGTAATGTTTCTTTACGTCAAATTATTTACGAAGTAGAAAGAAAATACCGAGTACGAAAAGGCCGGCAGCACATCTGCAATGCCTTTGGTATTGTGGGTGATCATGGGCGGCAGTAGTCACTTACCATCAGGTGAGCTACGTGCTCGTTTGCCCCCTGTGTTATAAAAAAAAATTACATTTTTTAATATCCTTATCATCATCATCATGTCAGTATTTAGCTTTCCACTGCTAAACATAAACCTCCTGTTGGACAGTTTGGCCAGAAGAAAGCGAACCAGTAATCGCAGTTAGGCTTTAGAGATGTTTTCAGAGGAACGCTGCTACCCATCCTTCGCCCTACCTTAGTCGCCTCTTACGACACCCATGGGAAAGGAAGGAGTGGCCTGTTCTATGCCAGGACCACACGGCCAATTTTCTTATATTTAAACTTTATTGACCAATAAAATGTGATGCAACGGGTATTGAGAATTGATTACAAAAGTCTTCTATCTATCTATCCTATTTAAGAGCTGCGCTCTTGTCGGTGGAGCTCTTGCCACTCACTACGATTTTCAACAAGTCGCTTCACCTCTTGATACGACACGACACCAACTTCTTCCTTGATCTGCCTGATGTATCTATGCCTCGGTTTCCCTCTTCTCCTCCTTCCTTCTATCTTACCTTCTATTATAATGTTCATAAGTTCGTCGTGTCGTATCAAGTGTCCCAACATTTTTTCCCTTCTGTCCTCAATAGTTCTAATAATTTGTCTCTTTTCCTTAACCATAAGCAGGACCTCCTCAAGACAAAAGTCTTATGCTTTATCTATTTTTCTTAATTTTCTGGAAAAACAATATATTCATCTCAGAAATCCAATATATAAATGTTAAAAATAACTTCTACAAACTTACAAATGTGACCAAACAGACGAATATGGTAGCCAGCCTGAGGGGTATGCACCAGCAACATCTGAAAGTGAAGCCGAGCTTGTCTATTGGTGTGCGGTGGACGGGGTGACTGGCCAATTGGACATCTTCGGCAGTCCAGAAAGGACATGGACATATAAACCTGCCATTTGAAAAAAAAAACAGTTAATTTTAAACTTCCGCGTTGTTGACACATTTTAAACATACTATCGGGATTAGACTGGACTCATTAAGTTGTGACCACGACGTGATGCAATCCACGTCGAAATGTTGGCAATAAAAATTACGTATGTGAGTAATATCTACTTGCAATTTATCATCGTGTTAAGTTTTTTAAACATAACACGTGTAAAGTTAAGTTTTAAAAATTTTAATTTTTTAAAGTTATAAAAATTAAATAGATTAGAATTATGCATTTATATAAAAAAATCATATATAGTTGCATTAAAATTAAATATCTGCTAATAAAATGAATAAATAACAAATAATAAACCATTGTACAATATATAATTTTATCTATATATACTGTCATTAAAAGTGGATGGTACTCTCTCTCTCTTTGCAAATTGGGGTACCACGTGTCTTATATGCTTATTTATTATAATAACTAATTTGTACCATGTGGCATGCTAATAAATATAAATAAAATATATATTTTTTTAAATTGGAAGGAATTATAGAAAAAAAATTGACTTAAACTTTATTTTATATTTTATGTAACATAGAATAGAAAACAAGCTGACGACCCATTTGATGGAAATTGCAATCGTCGTCTAGACAAGAAAAGCACCATGGAGATAATGTCCATGGTAACTTTCACACGGCGGGGGGGGGGGGGGGAAGGGATTATTAGTAATACGATCTAAAAGCTCTATTGCTAGCAATATACCCTATCCCTATCAAGTTGACATCTACGCGCTTCTCCCTGGATACTATTATAATTTATTTGTCTGGAATTCGTCACTATGGACTAAGTGGTCTGCTTTCATCCTAACCTATTATTTCTTATTGGTGCCCTGCCAGCGTATACCAGTTACCATTTACCGTTACCATTCCATTTTCACCCATTAAAAAAAAACAGGTTCGTTTCACGCGTTGCCACTCCTGAGCACTGGTGATATGTCTTCAAACTCTGTAATTTCACTGAACGTTTAAAAGTATTTACTGAGTTTCGAAGCTTCCTTAATACTTATAATAAAGAATCATTCTTGTTTCAAGTCAACAAGTGGACGTGAGAAATTTACAAAAGAGTTTACTGTTACATTCAGAAAATTTGTGACGGTAAATAGGGCTCGTTATATATATTTATTCTTTACTACCAACGCGCCATGGCTTCGCGCCGTTTTTTGAAAATAAAATAGCTTTTGTTACTCGTTGGTAATGTAGCTTTCGGTAGATTTTTTTTATGCAACTTAGAATAGCATACAAACTGACGTCCACCTGATGGATAGTGGTAACCGTCGTCTAGAAACATCAACAGTATAAAATACATAACAGAGTATATTGTTTCGCTCGTGATATCCCCCTGCGTGGCCATTCCTGAGGACTCGGGTGTTATTCCTCTGTACCCTGTAAATTCACTGCTATATCCCACCCTTCAAACCGAAACACAGCCATGCAAACTCAACTGATCGACCTGACAGTGTATATTGCCAACAATAGAAGCTATTTTCCTAATTAGCAACAATCCCTTCGAGAATGGACCACTCTTTCCATTCCCGTGCCTATTGTAACAGCTAAGGAAACTTAATGGTCGAGGGATAGGCAGTAGCGTCCCTTTTATAACACCAAAAACCAAATTGCGGTTGCTAACCCGCTTGCCAAGCGTGGCTGCTACTGGCGAAACCCCCCAAGGGGGAGGCTTATGTTCAGCAGTGGACCATTAAGGGCTGACATGATGATGAATAATCAGTAATATAAAATCAATATCATCGAATATGTTTTATAATTTGTACTTACTTTTTACACATATATAACTCCTTTTATTATAGCAAAACATATTTGTTTGTGAACGATTTGAAATTCATATTTTATGGTAATCTCGATGTTGACGCTTTGTAAAATGTTTTTGACGCTATACCTACAGTTTTTATATTCAAGTCAAAATTCAAATAGGTAGATACTATGCAAATTGACGGCCAGTGATGCGAATCAATAAATCCATAGACAATTTTTTACGTATTCAGATGTATGCTAGAAATTTTAGTACCATAAAATAGAATAGTGTATACGGTCGTAAAAGTTTAGAACAGTTTTTCAAACTTTTTCATGGCGCGACCCCCTTCGTCATTATTATCTCAAGATAGGCTTCTCCCACAGGCGATCCCATAATATGTAAAAAAAATTTTGTGACCACCTACCATTCGCGGTTAACCTAATCTGTAATTTTTATATTTTTTTATCCGCGACCTACTTGTTAATTAATTTTAATGAATTGCAATTTTCACAATTACATTATTAATAAAATACCAATTAAAATAATTTTATTAATAATTTAATTTCATCATTCATTGACTCTAAACAACGTATTTAAAATCATCCCTCCATCTAATGAGGCGGGGAGGGGGGGGGGGAGGGATTGGTTAATGATAGTGTGAAATAGTCCCTTTGTTAACAATACATCTCATCAGGTCGACCTTCGCGTAGTTCCAACTGGAAACCAGCTTGGTTAATTCTTGTCGAATTGGTCATGTTGGGTTAACTGGTTTGATTTTTTCCTCGCCAATTATTTGTCACTGGTGTCCCACCAGCGTATACCGATAGCGTTGGCAGAGTTAGCATTCTATTTTCACAAATTAAAAGTGGGTAGAAGAAGGATATATTGTGTTTGCTTTTACGGAATCGTCAGTCGAGTATATTTCCTTCATTACACTCCGGTACATTTTTTTTTATGCAACTTAGAATGGCACACAAGCTGACGACCCACCTGATGTAAAGTGGTAACCGTCGCCTATAGACACGGGCATATAATCACTTCTAATTATCTCTTATGACTAAGGACCATGAATTGATTATGAAACTAGTCGAGTTTTTTAGATCTAATTACACGTAAATTCGGTCGATAGTTAAAATATTGATATTTCTGTTTGTTCGTCCCTTACTTTTATATATATAAATCTAATATATAAAATTCTCGTGTCGCGGTGTTTGTTACCAAACTCCTCTGAAACGGCTTTACCGATTTTTATGAAATTTTGTGTGCATATCGGGTTGGTCTGAGAATCGATCAACATCTATTTTTCATACCCCTCAATGATAAGGGTGACCCACCCCAAAAAATTTTTTTTATTTTTTTTGAGAAATTTTTCCATTTTTATTTTATTATGATTTAGCATTGAAAAATACATACAACCTCAAATTTTCACCGTTTTACGATCAACTCCTGTTTTTTAATCGCGATTTTTATATGCTGCAATAGAGTTGCAAGATGGCAATCCAATATAATAATTGTAGTAGGATAAATTTTCATGTAAAGTTCTAAAAATAATGTATATGGTAAAACAACGTTTGCCGAGTCAGCTAGTATATGCTACATAAACATAGATGTTAGATATAGACATGTACTTCGGAAAGTATAGATGATGACAGAGCGGAGATAGTATCGCGCCGCCGAGCACAACAGTAATGAAGCCGCGGCAGACGAGATGTCACTTGCACTGTGGCCACTACACATGAGGGGATCTCTTGACCCGCATCTCTTTCTAAGGTTATAGGGTTGTCGATTTTATATTTCGTAATGTCAATTTTATTTTTCAATAAAAATAATTACCTGTTACCTATAGTAGATTTTTAGTTTACTTATGTATTTCAAAAGTCGTGAGTTCGGACATGAACGAAATAATTGTGTTTTAACAAAATACATTTAATTTTATTATATTTGTATCTACATTTTTTAATAATTTATAAACATTGTTTACCGTGTGGTTCCAGCATAGAATAGACCATCCCTTCCTTTACCGTGGGTGTCGTAAGAGACGACTAAGGGAGTGCGAGGGATGGGCAAGGACGTTCCTCTTAAAACATCTAACCCTAACTACGGTTGCCATTTCGCCTGCAAAGCATGGCAACTATTGGCAACAAGGGAGAGACTTATGTTCAGCGGTGGGCAGTTAAAGGCTGACTAAAGTATTTTTTAACCAGAAATTGTCACTTTCATATTTCAGTTTTCAAATCGAAACATTGTTTCGTCTACCTTGACTATCTGTCGAAAAAAAAAATTACTGCGCGCCACTGACTTAGAAAAATCTTAAAAAATTCTCATCGGTGTTGCTGACGCCATATTTAATCTGTTTATTCGGAAAAGGCAAACGAATTACCTTCGTCAAGTTTACACTCGAATAATATACGCCAGAATTGTGTATTGGCTGGCTGATTTATAAATCGAATCGTTGTAAAAACCGAATCGCTGAATTGTGTAAGCTCGAATTCGACGTAAAGGCAACTTTTACGACCTACGCAATCGTTTAAATGCCTAAGAATTTAAGGAAATCCCTTCCCCTAGCGGGCGATTTAGCTGATACAATTCTGTATTGGAGTTGTGCTTAAAGCAATTGTAATTATTCCCCAAATCTTTCTGAGAAAGTTAATTTTAGTTCACCACAAATACAAAGTGTCTACAAGTCTGTTTTAATGAAATTTGATGCAAAGGTATCTAAGTTTTCTTGAAATCATCATAGTAACATTTTTTAAATGAAAAAAATAATAAATTAAAAATAAACATTAACTCGATTGATCCATTGTTTATTTGTACAACTATTGGACATCAGCAGACTATCTCATGGACGGGTCGATTTGTTTGTTTACATCTTCAGATTGTATCTACTCAATTTAACTATGTATTCTTTTTTATTTCTATTTGAAACCTAGAGCAAGCCATTACATAGAAGTAATGATAAAATAAAAACTGTAAATTATATGCTTGCCTCCTTTCTTCTTATGCAAACATAATTAGTAAAAAGAGGACGACAGATACACTATCAGTTGCTATTTATCTCAATTCATAGTAGGCCAGTATATAGAAAATGTTATACGGCTGTGTAACTCTACTATATTCAGATACAACCTGCTTACATACTTTCTACATAAATTTTGTCGAATATGTGTATCTAGTCATGTAAATGAACAAAAATTATACATACCTACACATTTTCTATGAATTGAGAAAAATAGCAACCGATGGCGTATCTTTTGTCCTCTTCTTACTAATTATATTTGCGTTAAAAGGAAAGGAGGCGACCATATGATTTATAGTTTTTATTTTATCATTCCTTTTATGTAATTCCTTGTTCTTAGATTTGAAAGTTGATTATAATTATCGACGAATCGCTTATTTTTTTTTAATAAAAGAGTTTTCTTTCATCTCGGTTTATTGTATTTAAAAATATTACTCTTTAAAGCACTGTATTTCCGACAATTCGAAGAAGATCGTATCACGTCGTCTGCAGACCAGTCCAATCGTGACTTGCACGATTTGAAAACAAATTTAAATAAGAAAATCCAAAGTTAAACAGTGACAACATTGTTGCCATCTCATCTACATTGTACTATGCTAAGATTATGAAGTATATAGATTGGCAATGTAAAAGAGAGAACATACAATACATATATGTTAGAGCGAGATAGAAAATATGACTATAATATGCACAATACATGCTCGAAGCTGATTTGGCAGAAGTATGAACATAACAATATAATTGCTAATTATTTTTACGTTTTGAAGTGGAATTACTCGTAGTTTTAAGTGAATGTAGTTTGTTACACCTAAATATAACATGAATAAGAAAAATAAACCACATAATCGCACATTGTTTATGTAATTAAGTTGTAAATATTTTTACTTTTAAACACGATATTATATATAAGAAAAAACTAAATATTTTATAGAAGAATTGGTAGAAAAAATATCAAATTTATGATAACAATGTTTCGAATGCCCTTGAATCGAGACTGAGATTAAAATTATAACAAATACTTGAATTTTTGCTATTTTTGCAACTTCAATTTCATACAAATTTCTATCCGTCACGTGTACACATTTACAAAACACGCATACACGTGATGATTACTTGCTTGCACACTAGTATAATATTTTTGTCTAGATTTTGTTATTGCATTGCTGATCTGCCAGTATTTAGTACGTTATACTATGTCCATGGTACTATGTAACCATAAATGTACATGAGAATATTGCGTCTCGTTTCGGGCAACACTAGCCCTTTACCAATATTAAAAAGAAATGTACATGTAAACATTAACATTCTTTTGGCGTTTCGGTTAGAAAAAAGAGAGTTGACAGCCCTGACACGTTCTCACAAGAAGCGGGCGGGGGTCATGGTTGCTAAGTTTTCCCTGCAGCTTCTCTGTCCCAGGCGTCCATAAATAGAAAATAAATTTTATACCTCACCGTATCGTCCCATTTTCCGGACATTTGGCTATACTTTTGCACGATTAGTTTTCGGGTATTTTTTTAGTTATTCCTATATCTTAGATGGTTACAATATGTTTTTATTGTCTTTGTTTACTGACCCAAAGATTTGATGTCTCTCGAAAAAAAAATGTATTTATTTATAACATATTCATACATAACTAAGATACAACATAAACTACTATTGTGTATGTATGTGTATTCCGTGAATTAAAATTGCTAAAAAATTAAAATCTATTAAAATCTTTGCATCTATTTTATATTTCGCTTCCAAATCTTTAAAACACATGTTTGCTATCCAATTTCAAATTTTCAGTGACAGCATAGATTAAGAATTGTGCCTATGGCATTCCCTTTCTGGGACCGGACAACAGTTACCTTAGACAACTGGTGAAAGAATCTATCCATAGAATCGTTACAGTTACCGCTTGCATTAAGAAGAATTGAAAGAACAAGACAGTGCATGTCGCCATCTCATTCTATCTCATATTTGCGAATAATCGTTTCTTCTTCTATCGATTCTATTCATAGATTGTACAATAGTTATAATTATACAGTACTATCATATCTACTTGTACAACAATTAATCCATTACCTTAAGGTTGTCCTGAAAAGATTGCTCTCAGCAATAACACCGCCTT